TAAAAGTATAATCCAATAATCCCTCCTTTCTGTAACGTTGAACTCCCACTGACGCTGACGTACAACAACACAAGACATGTAGGATTAGTTTGGTCAGAGAAAAGTTTTATTTTGGATTTAAATAGTTTTCATTGTGGATTTGTTATAAATAATTGTACTGATTTTTTTTAACTGAACCTGAACCTGATTTATCAACTGTCAAATACTGTGGAGTGAGATGTAATAATATCTGTGAGAAATGTAATGGAAACTTCATATTCTCTATTTTTTAACTATCTTATTAACTCCATATTAACTCCTGTCTTGTTAGTCAGTCAAACACCAACATTTATATCCAAGGTTTCGCTCTTGTCGTCAGTAAAAACATTTAAACTTCACTGAAGTATAAAGTATAAATATTTCAGGCACACATTTGAATATTTTTCTGGTGGATATAAAAAGAAAATCTTAAATGTCTATTTTTTTTTTTTTTTGGTTATTATTACCACTGCAGCAAAGCCAGACATTTTCTTCTTAAAACAGTACGGCCTTCATATGAATGACTGAAACTCTTTTAATTTTTAATATTTAGTCGTCAAACTGTTTTTTGGTTTTACTTTTCACATTATTTAAACTTCTATTTAGTTCATCTTAGTGCTCAGAGCTCCTCCTGCTCTTCCCAAAAGAGAACAGTTTATTAAATAAATGTTAACTCAGCTGTTCAGTTTTTAAACTACAATAACATCAACTACCAAGAGGGGGTGGACTTGTAAAGGACAAAGAAAACACAAGACAAACCAAAGGCAGATTTTACCAACGTTTGAAGTGTCTGACTGAACATGGCCTCCCATCTCTGGGTCTCTGTCTGCAACAGCATCACTGTAACAAAGAATCTTCTTTTTCTCTACTTTACCTAGATTACCTAGATTACCTAGATTACCTAGATTACCTAGATTACCTAGATTACCTAGATTACCTAGACCTAGCAGACGTGACTCATGGGTTAATCTCAGTCAGGCGGAGTGTGACCATAAGATGAAGGTAAAGTTCTGGTCAGTGACACAACTTGATCACATTTATTATTTGATTTTAAAATTAGTCACTTGTTGTTTTGACAAAGAATTTCCAAAGGAAAGAAACTGTTGCCAAAGAATGAGCCCTTGATCAACACTACAACCATACTGTGGTGTGTTGACCATCAGTGATGCTGCCCTCTGTGGGCATTTTTTTTTCCTGGTGCAGGTTGTTGGTGTGTTTCTGTGAGAATGTTAAGTATAGAAAAATAAATCTCTTAATCCCAAAGATTATCCTAAACATAAACATAAATAATCCCAAACACATTTTCTAAGGAATATGATCTAATTCTCTGTGCCAAGTTAAGTTCTACCAATAGTGGCCCTTGTTCATCAGACTCTACAATGTTGTCAATCTTGCTTTTATGGCTGTATCATTTGAAAGATGACCCTCATCTCTGAGTCTCGTGTACAGACGTAGATACTATACTGCGTGTATTTGTGTAGTAGTAGAAAGATACTTCACTCGACTGGTCCAATTATTTTCTCACCTGACCGACTTGTCCTGCACCGTATGGTGTGGACAGTCAGGCCCAGGTGGAAGTGAACTGTGAACCTGCAAGGACATATTTAAAAATCAATGTGACTGAAAAATTGATGTCATTCACTGCTGTCTCACACACACATCAGTCTGCACACACACATCAGTCTGCACACACACATCAGTCTGCACACACACATCAGTCTGCACACACACATCAGTCTGCACACACACATCAGTCTGCACACACACATCAGTCTGCACACACACATCAGTCTGCACACACACATCAGTCTGCACACACACATCAGTCTACACACACATCAGTCTGCACACACACGTCAGTCTGCACACACACATCAGTCTGCACACACACATCAGTCTGCACACACACATCAGTCTGCACACACACATCAGTCTGCACACTTCATCACCTTCACACGTAGTAGAAAGTAGTGATGTTTCTCCTATTCCTTTGTTTGAAGGTAGAATTCAACAGAAAGAACACATAAATATAAGGGATTTCTGATAGTAACTTTCTGCTGATATTGTCCAACACCTACTGTACATCTGCAGTTGTTTGGGTCACATTTCATTCTGTGCACAATAGTAGTAAAGTTTCATTTTCACTTTCACTTCAAAACTATTTTCCGGTCACATCATCTGGGTGGAAAACCCAAGCATCGGGTTTTCATTTCATCAGCGTTTCTTCAACTGATATTAACATTTCAAATGTAACAATTTACACCTTGACATCAACTGTCGATGTTTCATGACCACGTTTTTATTTTATAACAACGACAGGATTACTGGGAATAACCCTTTAAAATGTGGACGAAGTTCGTTGCTTGTGCGTCTGTCGTTAGGATGATACAGACGTGAAGAGTGTCTTTTTGCCACCTTGATGCTCACCATGCGTTGTGGATTTGTTCACTGGAGTTTATATTTAACTTGCGTCCCTCATTATGTTCCTTAGCTGTTAATTATACCTGTCGTCTGCTGAGCGGCTGCAGTGCAGTTCAAGCTGTTTCGTTGACAACATCTGCTGACTGGCACTGTTAGTGATAATGATGGAAAGAATGTTGCTGAAATAAATCAGAAAATCAGACTTTACACACGCTCAATAATGAGTTTGAAATAAAGAGGGATAAAAACCTGGTCTAAAATGTGTTAAAGTTGCTCGAAGATGCAACACAAAAAAACAGCTGTACATTTAAGATGGTTATCATCAAGTGATGAGGACAGAGGCTGCATCCGTCTGGTTAGAGAATGCCTGTTTCAATGACCAGAAACCACCAACACTGCCCCCCCCTCAAGCCCGACCCCCCCATAAGGCACCAACAGAACCCCCAACAACTGCACATGACTGGCAGCTGATGGTTGATTTCTGGAAACAGCTCTGGTTCCCTGAGGCCATAACAACAACAACACTGGGTCCAGACTCCGTCCTCCTGTCAGTAACACCCCGACAGGTGGTCGCTGTAGAACTCAGGGTCCTGGTGGGAAAACTGGATGAAATGGAGGAGGCAAAAAAAAAAAAAAACAGGAAGAAATCTGAAATAGAGACTGTACGTTGAGCCGTTGAAGAATCGCTGCAGACGGACGGTTGAAGACCTGGTGACCGTCCATCGAGGTGGACGTTGTCCTGGACATCACGGGTTCTCACCAACAGCAGGTCATTAGGAACAGGACTAAGAGACTGTGGTGAAGCTCAAGTTTGGACCTGATCAATCACGTGTGACCTGAAACGCCCGGTGACTCTGGGAAACATGCATTTTTTTAAAATGGTCCAAATTGATCAAAGACTGTAAATCTTCAGAGATTTCTCTTGAATCTAAGAGGGAGTGAAAAGTCGAGGTAATTTTACACACTATATTACTCTAAAGTGTTTGGCTGAGTTAGTCGTAAAGTGGATGGTGGGATTGTTCCTTTAAACCAGATGTATCTGCAGGATTACTTAAAGAGCCACAGCACCGACACTAAATCCCCGGCCTATTTAGACTCACACCGAGCCGCTGCAGCTCGCCTTATTTGTCTGCAAGAGCACATTTGACCATTGATTTAAGAGTCACAAATCTTATAAATTAGCTGCTGGCTTTTCTTATATTGCTTTGTGGTTATTAAGGGTCGGTCGGTTGGTGCTAAAACAGACACCGAACATATTAGACAAGGAGAGATAAGTGTCCGAGGATTACGCCGTGGTGAAGTGGTTTGGTGGACCCAAAACAAAAGACAATAAAGTCATTGGTCGATTACTTTTTTCTTTTTCTTCACCAAACTGTCTCATCCACATCCACGCGTCCTCTTGTTTCCCTACTGAATTTCTCAATCAATTTGTTTCCCTCCCTGATTTATTTTCAGCTTCGCCCCAGCATCCATCATTTCATTAATTTGCCCTGACCTTTCCCCTGCCCCCCCCGTCCCCCCCCTCCTGCCTTCAGTAACACAGCGGTTTGCACCGACCACAGCAGCCCAGCCCAGCAGTGACATCAATTCTTATCGTTTACAGAACACCCACCAGGGGATTAAACCCTGCTCTGCTTGTTTATTTATGTAAACCTATAAAACTTATCAGCCGCATCAGCGGGAGGCTTAGTCCTCTGGATCTTCTTCCCGTCGCCCGGCCTCTCCGTTCGACTGCAGAATGTCAGACGTATTAAATGAGTGATTCCAATCCCGGCTCCCATATATATATATATATATATATAAATGTTGCACTTACTCTAAAATGAGGTTTTGTTGTTATCTCTGTAGCGTCTAATTGTTTGCCGCAATTGGGCCGTTGTTTTGACACGGACGAGGCTCTAACCCCATTATCGGATTTGTCCCAGATCAAATCAACGCTGTGTGTGTGTGTTTTATGTCGCAAATGGTGGCGAGATAAAGACTGTAGCAACACAAACTGTGTCTGTGTGGTGTTGGTGGGGAAAAATGAATCAGCGCCACAAACTGTAGGGATTAGAATCAAAACACCACTGCACGTCCTTGAGAGTTCAGATGCTGATGTTTCCCACCTGTCTCTGCTACGTCCCAGGTTTGTAAGTCAGGTCAATGAGGACTGGGTGCCACCCAATACATCAGTCATGGGGCAAATTCTCACAAAATTTAAAAAAACTGGCCTGTCAGAAAAAAAACCTCCAAGACTAATACATTAAATTATAGTTTTTGAATTTACTAATAAAAAAAACTATAAAAATCCCATCACGCTGCAGCGTCTTTATGTCACTGCAGACTTTGAGTGAAATGTATCTTTTTTTTCAAATTATTTTTATTGACAAATAACAAAAATTTTCCAATTACAGGTCTAAAATTATCCTTTTTTTTAAACATATATACACAATATATATATATATATATATATATATGTAAAACACACACGCATACATAGTGACGTGTACCTTTAACAGCTCCTGGTCAGTCAGGCAGTCACTGCAGGTAGGCAGTCTGTAGGTCAGGTGACCTCTGTACCACGTGTGCCCGATGACGTCACCCGGAGTCCCCCCTCGTCTCAGGTAGGCCTGGCCTGAAATGTTTGGTGCCGAATTTTCTGCAGATTTCTTGTAAGTTTCGTTTTTATAAAATGCACTCATTTATGTGTGTGTTGCGCTCGTGCTCGTGACGCCGCGCACCGTGTTTTATTTGCATTTATTTGTTTTTCGTTCGTTTCGTATATTTTGCCCCGTTGACTGTTTTGCAACAACAGGCCGAGGCTCCAGCTTTCACCGCTGGAGCCTCGGCCACTTCCTGTCGACTCTGTGTCGTAGGTTTTCATAAGTTTTCATAAGTTTTCATACTGTTTTTAATTCAACTAAAGGTGCGTTTAAAGTGTTCTGATCAGCTCGGTAATTCCACGTCACCTGTTTGGACTAATTCAATTTTTTAGAGTATTTGTATTTGTGAATATGTGTGTGTTTGTAGCCGTTTGTGTTTAAACCACTTTGTCTTTATAATTTGACTTTCCTTAAGAAAGATGAAATGGTTGTTCAGCTGTTTTGAAATCAAATTATACACATGATACTTTTTGTATAATGACTGTTTTGGTCTTGGTGGTTTTTGTTGTCTGTTGGATTGTGAGGATGAAGCACAGCTGTACAGAGACCCAAGGTTTTAATGAGTTTTTGCCAAAGCCTCATCCATCAGGATGAACAGGATATAACGTGTCACTTTAAGACAAATCTATTTGAATAATAAAAAAGCTTGGGAGACTTGTGCCAAATACAATCAGATGAATATTTACTGTCCTGTGTAAATTCAATATTTCCCCGAGACTCAGAAAACTCATTAGTCCCAAAATGTCACACGATATGAGACCTGAGAGACAACGGTATTACCGTCACGGTCGACTTGATATCTTGTCACCATCTGGAAAAATCTGCATGTTTTTGTCAGTACTGATGATATGAGATTGTCAGTACTCTGTGATGTGGACGTTATGAACATGGTTGATGTTCTGGACTTTTTACGGTCATTTTTACAAGATCATTTGGATTTGGTTTTGAAAACTCACTCTTGTTTGGCTTCTATTTTGTTATTATTTGCCTGACTTTGCTACTTTGATAGAAAGGTCTGGTTTGGTGACTTGTGTTGGAGACTAAACTTTATTATTTGGAGCTCTACACCTCTGTAGAGACAAGAGGACAAATTACAAAGATTTATTTTATGAGACAAGAGGACAAATTACAAAGATTTTTTTTTTTATTTATTTGTTTTCAGAGCAGGTTAAACACCTCTCTGCTGCAGCTGCAGACTGTATTCCACTCCGTGTGCCTTGTAAATGACTCTGTGCTGACGAGGCCACAGTTAATGTCGGCTGTCTCTCAGCTTTAATTTGGTGATAAATTCATTTTGTGTCAAAACACAAAGGGACGTGGACAGCTCAGCACTTCATTTATTATCCTGCAGTGCAGCAGTGATTTACAGTTACCACAGCTCTCCAGGTGGCTGAGTGGCTGTGAGCGCCACACTGATAGCAATATAATGAACCCTGCTATTTTTAATGCCTTGTCCGCTGGCCAGTCAAAAGTTCATGCTCTGTGGAAAGTGGTTCCACCTTTAGATGGACTCAAATAGCAGTGGAAATGCACGGATTCTCCAAAATGTTGACAGTAGGATTCCAAAAAAAATCCATATTTATCGACATGATTGTTAAGCACTTTTATTTGTACAAATTCTTTGTTTTGGAGCAGTGGTTCTCAAACCATGGCGTGTGCATCACCAGTGGTACGCTTGCAGTCCTTATCGGAATGTGATGGAATCTGGAATTTTTCTGAATCTGGAGTTTTTGTAGTCTTGAAATTGTATTTAAGAGCAGTGTGTAGAGCATTAGTAGAATATAAATGTAATTTGTGCTACATTTAACCTAACAGTCTAATGGCTAGCTGCATGGCTAGCTGCATGGCTAGCTGCATGGCTAGCTGCATGGTTAGCTGCATGGTTAGCATATCTGTTTTGAACTCTATTTGCATCTACTGTACTAGCTGCATGGCTAGCTGCATGGCTAGCATATCTGTTTTAACTATATTTGCATCTACTGTATACAGTATCAAGACCAAAGATGTTCTGTTTTTTACACATATATAGCATTAGCTTAGCCGTAAGTGAAATAATAATAATCGCCGTGCGTTGATGACAGAACCAGCCGCCGTCTGTTAAAGTGTTGGAGTGAAATCACAGCATTTGAACAGTGGTGAAGTGGGGTCAGAGGCCATTAGCAGTGTTTGCCTCCCACCTAATTAGGCCTATTTTAATGGACTCTCTGTGACATTATTTTTCTGACCCTGGCTTTATCACAGACTCAGGAGCGTGACTTCAGTGGGTTTTTCTCTCTGTGTGTTTGTGTCTGTCAGATTTGAGGGTTTTTATTCTGCCAGAAATGGTATCATTTTAAATTATTATGCACAGCAGAGTATAGATTTAATGGCAGCTGAGGTTCTTTTTTTTTTTTTTTATCACCACGTATGAGCAGTTTCATTTCATAATGGACTTTGTTCACATTATTATGACACGTCCTCCGTACAGTAACGCAATAAAATGCTTTATTTCATGACATGAAAGGATTCATTATGAAGAGACTTGGTTTTATATATATATAAATGTATAAATTGTTTCTGACTAATTACAGTTACAGTAACTGTAACTGTAACTGTGGTAATTGGCAATTTTTTTTTTGTTGCTAAAATTGACCGAACTGAATTGTGATATAGAATTTTATTTTCTGGAAAATTTGGCATTTTATAAAACTTGCATACTTATATATATTTAATTGATTTAATTGATTTTATTTGTAGAACGTGTCTTAAACTTGCATACTTATATATATTTAATTTATTTAATTGATTTTATTTGTTGAACGTGTCAATTTGTTAATGTTTGTACGTTTGTTTGCTCTTATTGTTTGTGGTCATGTGAGGCAACTGCGCCCGATCAGAAAGGCACAAAAACTGGATAAAAAAAGATGCTGGATGTACAGAGGAGTTTTCACAAGTATGACTTTTGTTTTTTCTGGTTCTGTCAGATGGCTATCATTCCATCATCTCCGCTCTTCACTCTGTCACAGTGTGGGGCCCGCTCTGTAGCACATCAATCAGATTCGTGAAAGTCGACGAATCCATTTTAAATATGCTAATAACGTTTCAGACATGCATCGGCTGTGGATGGCTTTGCTTCACCAGCTGAAGGAATCCAACTTTTTCTTCCTTCCTATTGATATTCATGTGTTCTGCTGTCGACCGGCGCCTTAATTATTCAGATGCATAAATTACACTGCCGAGTCCTGACTGGCCACGAGGGACCAGCCCTGTCAGCTTCACAGAGACCAGAGGTGCTGTGGGCTTCACTCCACTTAACACCAGTCACTTGGTATATAAATATATACGTCTTGGCTTTCATACGTTTAACTCTACCGACAGAAGGTACAAACCTCCCAAGTATGATACTTAATATTAAAGGGAACATTAAAAGCAGCACGTGTGGCTCCGGTGACCTTCATGGAACCAAGTAGGTTCAGGGAAAGGTCGACGTCGTGGCCAAACCCAAGATGCTAGTGGTGATAAAAATCTGTCCCTAACTTTGTTTGTGTCAAACTTTAAAGATATAAATAACTTTTAAACCACTGAACCAAAAATACTTAAAGCGACACTAACACAACGGACGGTGCTCCATCTCCGCAAAGACTTACAAAGTCAGGCGGCGTGGATAAACCCACCACCGCGGATTCTCCCAAAGTCATTTCTGTGAAGGTGCCGTTGAGTGATGAGCTTAACCTCCACTATCTCAAGAGTTGCTTTCAAGTGCAGGACAAATGGCAGGGTGTTACACGGTTGCTGTGGATGTACCTCAGGTGTGAATGTGTGCGTACCTGAGCCGATGAATTTGGAGCAGGTGGTTACAGAGAAAGGTCAAGTGTGGTCATCAATCCATCCCTGGAAAGATAAACCTAACTACATGAATTATACTGCAGTACTAGAAGTACCAGAGGTTGGACCTGGAGAACCCAGAGGTTTTTTTTCCAGACTTGTACTACACCTTTTATCCATTCTGTTTTTTGTTTTTTTTTGAACAGTAGAAAATCCCTGGTCTGTGGGTTAAATCTGTTGACCATTAAATTAAAATAATTCAATTCACTTTGTTTAATTAATCTAATTTTCTTTCCACCCAAGTAGAACCAAGAATATCCCTTTGTCACACTTACACTTACTGCATATTTTTAAATGTTTTCCTCTAATAATTGAGTTTGCATTTGTCATATATAGCATGACTTATTTGTAGGAATCTTTATTTGGCTGCATGTTTAGCCCATAAGAATCCTATCATCAGAAACCCTGATGTTCTAAACTGCTGGATTAACACAGTTGAGACTGTGAATTTACTACAGTTGGTCTTTGGTTTACGACATCCTCAACCTACAGTGTTTTGTTTACGTTACTGTCTCCCATAAATTCATTAAGTCTTGTTCCATCATTCAGACGTAGAGCGCTGAAATGTGTGGATGAGTATGTCGTCACGCGGCGCTGTCGTCACGCGGTGCTGTACTCGGACGACGCCTTTGTTTCCGTTTGCTGGTCGTACGCCGGAATTGTGCTGAGACGCCTTTGTTTCCGTTTGCTGGTCGTCCGCCGTGAATTGTGCTGAATTCGCTTTCTTTCGTTTGTGTTGCTTTATGGGAACTGTGAGGAGTTCGACTGTTTGAAATTGTAATTTTTAAACCGGGGCTTGTTTGCCCAGAGACAAGACAGGAGCCCCGTCTGCAGTTTGACAGTCAAAACTAAATGGCCCTCACTAATGTCACATAAATGCCAGTCCAGTTTTCTCTCCGCAAACCAGGGCAAACGTTTCTAAAAAAAAAAAAAAAATAAAAACAGTAAATACCCAAATAATTCCACACCAAACTGGAGCTGAACGCTGTTTTCTCCGGGTGTTAAATAGTATTGACAGTAATTATTTTGGTCAGGGGTTGATTACTGGAAGAAGTGTAGCATCCATTCCCCACACAATCACTTGAAAGATTAACATTTATACTGTTCTTACTTACATATCCATTTCTCTCTCTCTCTCTCTCTCT